TACTTTAGAGAACATGTTGATTGAGAGTATGTGATTGAACTGACTTGACAAAATTTGCGACAGTCTTTTATACCGTAAAAATGTAAACATTCACTTAGTCACTGTTTGGTCTTTAGATAACTGAAAATTATGCAACGGTCTGTACGAATATGTGTGATTGAAAGAGAGTGTGCGAAAGCTCARAATTTTATGTAATTGCCGACAGACTAAATTTTAATTAAAAATTAAAAAAACGTGGCCTTGTTTTCAAATTATTAGTATTGAATGAAATGACATTTTTTTCAAAAATTTAATTTTTCTTTGTTAGGAGTAAAAATTGTAAAAGATTAGTTAATACGTTAAATCTTCTAAATTAAGAATAATTAAAACATAAAGAAATAGAATAATTTAGTTGTAATGAATTTTTAATTTGCTTTAATCAGCTCTTATTTTTTTCCCTTCACACTTTTAATTTTTGTTTTCTGCTAAAAACTGTGTTTTATGATTTTTTGCGAGCTTTACAACCAATGTCTTAAAGAAAGAAAACATATATTTTTTTTATTTTTATATATATTATGCATTCTATTTTATCTCACTTTCTTTTTGTTTTTATTTTACTTACCTTTTGTTTATTTATACACATTTCACTATTACACTAGTGTACATATTGTAATGCTTTTATGCGACATGTTTTATGATTTATTTGATCTGTAAGTATTTGAATTTTAGTTTGAATTAAAGCAAAATTGCTGCTTTGACCAGGTTTTAAATCCTAGATCTACCTGCTGGAAGCAGGACCTTATATCACTGCGCCACTACGTCTCCAGGCATTGACTCTGTTCTGATCCATTAAATTCATTTAAGAAAGAAAATTTTAAAAATATTTGTTTTTGCGTTTCTATAACTTTTTATGCACCTTTCTGAGTTTCTTAAATCTATAGGAGTGCAGTTGGTTCTATTTTCAAGTTTTTAATTTTTTTCGACTTTTGTCAATATTTATTTGGACCATTTTTGGTACCCGTAGCGGATATCAGCTATCTTATATTTGGTACTGTTGGAAAGCACTTTTAATTTTCTTACTTATAGAAAAAGATCTTTGTTCTGCCGTAAATAGTTAATGAGAAAATCGTTGGTAAAAGCAAAAACAGTCAAAATATTAATTTAATAATAACTTCTAAACTGTCAAGAATTTTGCGATTTTTTCTCCACTCCACTCCACTCGATTCCTCAAAACATTTTACATAGGCATGGTACAAAACCAAATTGTTTTCAATGCACTTGCAGCGGAATTAACAAAATAAAATAATGACAATTTTTGAACATATAATAGCCTATTTTGCTATGTAATTTGCAATTTTGTAAATTACGAGATACATAATTCGAAGTTAAAAAAAATATGTTAATCTTTTATTGTATTACACGATTAAAACTTAACAAACCCTTTGAATGGTAATGAGTGTTCAATAAAAAAAAATATTTTTATCATTTTATTAAAAAAATATTTCTCATTTTATTACAAAAATAAATAACATATTGGTATTATGGCATCGAAAGTCTTCATTTAGTGGAGAGAATGTTGTGGATGGGCAGCATGTCCCTGTCTTTGAACCACAGCATTGAATCCAGTTTTCTTCGAAGCAGTGTAGTGAACCACCAAGATGGTACCATCAGGTTCGTGAAGAGAATAAGAACCCTTAACTACGTCCCCATCTCTGGTTTCTTCATGCGACTTAATATCGCCAGTGTGTTTGTCTTCAACTCCGTATTTGAATTCGTATTTAGGATGGGCCTACACAAAAATTTAAATAAAATTTTATTAAAGCAAAAAATGAGGTAC